AAAAAATAATGTTGATCACATTGCAAAAAATCATGTGTGGGACACATAAAAACAATCTTTGAAATTTTATCAGTGCATGACGTCGAAGTTTTTGGGAAAATCCCGGGCGGCATCAGTTCTACTCGCTGCGTTTATGGACGCCCTTGCCGGTATCTCTTTGAACAAGTTGCTGTAAGATGGATGGGTCCAATGTGAATTGAAGCGAGAGGTACAAAAATGTAACGAGAAGCTGATAGATCTGGGAAGCTGTGGGCTGTATATTTTGCATAATGCATTCAAGGATAGTGTTCGAAGTATCAGTTGGGATGTTGTCATATATTTGCGTGGAATCTACAATATCTTCAAAGATGTGCTTTTATCATGATGTATTCTGGATCTACCATATTCCCGTTAAATTTTTGCGGTAACCGATGGTTGGAAAATAGTGCTGCTGTTCAGAGGACAATCAAAATTACTCCGCAAATATGAAAATTTATTCAAAAGGCGTCCAGAAAGACAAAATCGAACCAACGTCAGCTTCCTACCAAGATGTTAAAAACTGTTTGAATGACTCGCTGCTGATGGCTAAAACGCTGTCCAGACTGGAGTGTTATAACATGTTATAACGGTTGTCAAATAATTGCAACACAGAAACCACCATCAAGATAGCGCTATTAAATGTTATAACTATGTAGTCTGAACGTACTATATAGCACGTTCAGACTACAGAGTTATAACATCTTATAGCGCTATCATGATGGTGGTTTGTGTTGCAATTAGTTGACAACCGTTATAACATGTTATAACTCTCCAGTCTGGACTGTGCTTTAATAGTACGTTCAGACTACAGAGTTATAACATGTTATAGCGCTATCTTGATGCGGGTTTTGTGCGTTGCAATTATTTGACAACCGTTATAACATGTTATAACTGCTCAGTCTGGACAGCACTTAAGCTAGCTTTCTTCAAATCAGTTACTGTCGAAATTGAGCCATTTCTATGCGAATTTCAGACGGAAAACCCTATGGTGCCTTTTTTGTGCAACGCGATGTCTCAAATGTCTCATCTGAACAATATTGCACAGGTAAATGCACATTTGATCAATATGATCGCAAAAAAGATCGACTGGACGTTTTTTGGCACAGGTTATTGGTCGGCGTATTTAGAACTATTGTTGGTTGTGAAAATGATTTACTGCTTATCGCATGGCAACGCCAATGCAGAGAGAGGTTTTTCGGCAAATGCAGAAAATCTTTTTGAAAACATGAGGGAAGAGTCAAGGCCCAAGCGCAATGACAGCGGAATAGCAGTGGTAGTGGAAAAGCCCGATCTGAGTAAGCGTACTTGTCGGGTTGAAAACTAGCTAGAATCAAATCAAATCGACTGCGGTTAGGCATCTTGATGTCATTTGTGACAATTGGCACGCCATTTTGAAATCCAACATGGTGGCTTTTGGTTAAAGTCTGGAAAACATTGTCAAATTCTCTTCAATATGGGTATTTTGGAAGTATGGTGACGTCTACGGACATTGATCGGTTTAACCGAAAGCCACCATCTTGGATTTCAAAATGGCGTCGGACATCGATTACCGATCTCTTGACGTCACCACGATTTATAAAATACCCATATTTTAATGTGTTTGATAATGACGTTAATACAACCAAAAGCCACCATATTGGATTTCAAAATGGCGTCGGGCATCGATTTCCGGTCTCTAGACGTCACCACGATTCCAAAAATACCCATATTGAAGGGTATTTGATAATGTTTCCCAGACTTTATTATAACCAGAAGCCGCCATCTTGGGTTTCAAAATGGCGTTGGACATCGTTTTCCGGTCTCTAAAGCTCACCACGATTCCAAAAATACCCATATTTACAAGTGTTTGATAATGTTTCCTAGACTTTAATATAACCAGAAGCCGCTATCTTGGATTTCAAAATGACGTAAGATGTTGATTTTCGGACTCTAGACGATTCAAAAAATACCCATCAATATTTGACCATGATCTCTAGATTTTGTATAACCGAAAGCCGCCATCCCGCCATCTTGGATTTCAAAATGGCGTTGGGCATCGATTTCCGGTCTCTAGACGTCACCACGATTCCAAACATATCCATATCTATAAGTGTTTGATAATGTTTCCCAGACTTTAATACAACCAGAAGCCGCCATATTGAATTTCAAAATGGCGTCGGGCATCGTTTTCCGGTCTCTAGACGTCACTATGATTCGAAAAATTGTATTTTTGGAATCATAGTGACGTCTAGAGACCGGAAATTGATGACCGATTGATGTTTCGGTTTTATGCTCAATTTAAATCAGTGGCGTCGCCCTAACCTCAATCTATCTGTACAACAACTATCAAAACGTAAACATATAACAAGTTATTATTGCTTTAAATCAATACAAATTAGTGAAACTAGAAGACCCTATGCATTTTGGGATCGATTTGAATATAGTTATGGCTCCAAATTACGTTTTCAAACTGGTTGAACAGGTAAAAAGTAAGGTTACGATACGCCACTGATTCAAATGTATATACAGTAAGAACCAAATTTTGTCAGTGTGGAGGGGCTTTAATCAGACTTTAATCTTTTTTTTTTTAAATTTCACACAATAATTTCAAATCTTTTACACTCATCTTCAAAATGGATATTGAAGGTTGGTGCAAAACCATGACCATGTGTTTCGTAGAACATAAGAAAAGATAAAAAGGGTGGCCAAAGGGTGATACGGTCAAAATTTGGTCAAAGGAAAACGCGTGTAAATCGGTGAAATCGTTTATTTAAAAAATCAAATTAAATTTCTTTTTCAAGTTCAATTAGTATAAAATTCTTTTCCAAATCCGAATTGCCGGGCCTTACGCTTGACCCCTGCCATCAGATTTTGCACAGCCACCTTGTCCACCTTCTTCGCCGCAGAAAGCCAGTTTGCCTTGAACTGCTGCTCGCCCTTAGCAGTTTTTTTGGTCTTCTATAGGTTCCGCTTGACAATAGCCCAGTATTTCTCAATTGGGCGGAGCTCTGGCGTGTTGGGAGGGTTCTTGTCCTTGGAAACCACCTGCACGTTGTTGGCGGCGTACCACTCCATGGCCTTTTTACCGTAATGGCAAGATGCCAAATCCGGCCAAAACAGTACGGAACAACCGTGTTTCTTCAGGAAAGGCAGCAGACGTTTATTCAAACACTCTTTCACGTAAATTTCTTGGTTGACAGTCCCGGAAGCTATGAAAATGCTGCTTTTCAAGCCACAGGTACAGATGGCTTGCCAAACCAGATATTTCTTTGCGAACTTTGACAGTTTCATGTGCTTGAAAACATCTGCTACCTTTTCCCTTCCTTTTGCCGTATAAAACTCCTGTCCCGGAAGCTGCTTGTAGTCGGCTTTGACGTAGGTTTCGTCGTCCATTACCACGCAGTCAAACTTCGTCAGCATCGTCGTGTACAGCCTCCGGGATCGCGCTTTGGCCGTCGTATTTTGTTTATCATCGCGATTTGGAGTCACTACCTTCTTGTAAGTCGATAGTCCGGCTCGTTTTTTGGCTCGATGCACGGTTGTAGACGATACACCCAGCTTATTTGCGGCATCTCGGAGAGAGAGGTTAGGGTTTCGCTTGAAACTACCGGCAACTCTCTTTGTCGTCTCAGCGGCTTCCGGTTTTCGATTTCCCCCCGATCCAGACTTCCTGGCTGTCGACAAACGTTCCCCGAACACTTCAACTACATTTGTAACGGTTGATTTGGCAACTTTTAGCGATTTTGCCAACTTTGCGTGCGAGTACCTCGGATTTTCGCGATGCGCGAGAAAAATTTTGATACGCTGCTCTTCTTGCTTGGACGGCATTTTGACAACTGAAGAGTGAATTCCAAAATCAAAATAGGAGCAACATTCTACACACACACACACCTTCAAAATGAGGGGTGTTCAGGTTTTTTAAATGCAAAATTGAAAGAAATACGTCAAGTTGATATTGACCAAATTTTGACCGTATAACCCTTTAAATCGGGTAATTAATGATTGATTGTACCACAACCGGGAAAAATTAAAAAAAAAATCCGGGAATAAAAAGGGAAATAACTGGGAGATTTATAATCGCTTGAAATAGTGAATTCGCACATTAAAGATGGATATGCTTATCCCAAGCGCCATCTATATGGTTCTCTGTGCAATTTCACTTGTTCTGATCAGAAATGGAGTAGCAACTACGACTTCCACCTTGTCAGTCAAATTTTAACAGTCAAATATTGGCAAACTGCGACAGACAAACTGACGTCTGATCACAGCTTATGTTGAGACCCGACAAACGCTCGCTTCAGAAGCGTAAAAGCCTTGAAGAAGAAGACTGTGCATCACTCATCGATGATGGATTTTAGAGAGGATCTAGTATAAGAGAAGAGTCGACTGGCTGGTATTGAGCCAAACGAACTATCAAAGTCAGAGCCAATCGAGCAGCTCCTATCTTGATTGTATTGGCAGTGTTGCTAGCACCCACCTAGGCATAGGTTGCCAAAGCATTTTGTTTTGAATCCGCCCCTCTCTTATACTAGACTCTCTCTCTAAAATGGATTTGTGCTTTAATAATTTATGTAACATCAAATTCAAATTCCACACCAGCCACTGCTGGCTTGAAAGCTATACTTAGTCATTATATCACAAAACCACTATCTATGTATTAACTGTACATAGTGAAAAACTAGGAAAAAAAGCACATTCACACCCGCGAAAGAGAAGCATTCGGATTGCCGAAAAAAAGCGGCTACAATAATATACCATCTACACACCCATCAATTTCCATTTTCCGTTTCGACCATCGAAAGTGCAAGTGAATCAATTATGTGCACCGAATGGAATCGCGTACCTGGGATAATATATGCACGGCTATGGGCTATTAAATTAATAATCATTTGTTGCCTTTTGTTTTCATTTTCGGCGTACGGGATATATGGATGAAATCTATTTCGTAATTATATGGCTGCCTCCCAATGTACATACTAATGTGAGTTTATTCAATTTTCCAGGTTCTTCAGCAGCTCGAAACGGTTCGGAATGCACAACAGCAGCTACTGAGCATGTGGCAGCACCGGAAGACCACGCTGGATCAGTGCTTCCAGTTGAGACTTTTCGAGCAAGACTGTGAGAAAATGTTCGACTGGATTCTGCATAATCGGGATGTCTTCCAAGAGACGTACGTGGTGATTGGGCACAACTACACGATGGCCAAGAAGATTCTCGATGACCATCAACGGTTTGCGGTTACGTCGAGAAACGTATCCTCCAACATCAATCGAATATTGGCCGTAGCTGGCAACCTGATCGAAAGTAATCACTACGCCGCCCAACATATCCGCACGCTGGCGACCAGGCTGGACAAAACATGCAAGGATTTCGTTACCACGTTGGACGAACGGACGGCAGTGCTTTCACTTTCGGTTGTGTTCCATCATAAGGCGGAACAGTATACGGATAGCGTGACCAGCTGGGCAGCGGCCTGTGAAGCTACCATTCCGACGCCAACCAATGTGGAAAGTTTGGAAACGGCAATCCGAACCCATCAATCGCTGTACGAGGCGATGTGCCAGGCCTACACGGAGGTGCACTCCACTAGTAAAAAGCTTCTGTACCAATTGGATCACCTGGTGCAGGTTTGCAACCAGCCGCCGGCTGTCAATACGAGGAAGAATGTAAGTGCTGCCTGCCATTTCCGTTTTACCAGTAATTTACTAATTCCCTACACTCTCTACTCTAGGATACCAATCACTTCAACGGTGGCAATCCGGCGGCTGACTATAGCGAAGGTGCGTCTCATGTATTGGCAGTTATTCATCAAATACTCGGCCATCATCGAGCGTTGGAAAGCAAATGGCACGCCGGGAAATTGCGGCTACATCAGAAGCTAGCTCTCCGGCTGTTTCAGGAGGACGTGAAGCAGGTGCTCGATTGGTTACAGAATCACGGCGATGTGTTCCTGCGGAAAAACCGTGGCATCGGAAAAAGTTTGCAAAAGGCTCGGATATATCAAACCAGTCACGAGCATTTCGAAAATGTTGCTCAGAATACCTACAGGAATGCGGAGAAACTGCTGGCAGCTGCCGAAGAGCTGGCTCGGTCCGGTGAAGTTGCACCGCAGGAGATATTTTCCGTGGTTAGAGAGTTAGAAACTAATGTGGCCTCGTTTGCGGAACGCGTAGAACAGAGAAGAAGGCGATTGGATCTGGCGGTGTTGTTCTATACCAACGAGAAAGAAATTGCAGTATGGTCGGAACAGTTGCATACTGAAATGGCAAATGAGGAATCGATGGAACTGGCAAATGAGACTCTGGAAGGTACGGAGCGTATTCTGGAACAGTGCAAAGAACAAGAAGAAAACACGCTGAAAACCTGCATCCAAGCCATTGCTCAAGGTGAGGCACTGCTGCAAGAACTGAGAGCAATTGAAGAGGAAGATTCGTCCGGATCGCTAACGGCAGTGCAGAATGCTTTGGAACGAATACAGAAAAATCGTCTCGAATTAGAAACTCTCTGGCAGGCACGGAAGATGAAGTTCGATATGTATCTGCGGTTGAGAATATTCGAACGAGATGCACTGGAAGTTAGTTCCCAGCTGGAAATGTGGGCGGAAGAGTTGCAGCATACGGATGTGTCCAGAGATTTCCAGAAGACCGAACAAGTGCTTCGGTTGCACAACGAATCTGTCAGTCAAATGCAAACCACCACCTACCAGATGATTAACACTGGGCAGGAACTGATGCAGCTGTTCGAGACGTCGGGGGTGTTGATAATGGCCGACCCGCACACGACTGCCCAAACCAGGGTGCAATATTTGCTGGAATTTTTGCACGATCGGGAACTGGACCTGGAGGATTTGGCCGAGGCGAAGCGTATCAAGCTGGAGCAATCGATGCAGCTGTGTCACTTTCAGAACGATGCCAACCAGGTTATCTCGTGGATTCGGAACGGGGAAGCCATGCTGATGGCAAACTTTTCGATTCCGAATAGCTACCAGGAGGCAGAGCAGTTGCGGAAGGAGCACGAGCAGTTTCAGGTAAAATTCTATGTTTTGGTATTATTAATGTAATCGTTTGGCACGGAAGCTATGCGGCATCAAAGGCTATAGACCAAGCTCGTAAACAGGGTTTGAAATAGAGGCAGTATTTTTTTAGGGCTCAGAATCTTGATTTTTTTTACAATTCTTGGATTTTGTATCCCATATCTTGTAATTGTTTTTACGTCAGATTTTTCTTAATAATACTTGGTTCTCTTCCCAACATATCTTTAAAGATTTCTCAATCATTTCCTCACACTTCTTTTTGGACTTCCATTATAATAATATAGAGGTTTTCTCTAGTATGCCCTTTAAACCGTTTCATTGCACTAATATTTCTCCAAGAATAGAATTGAAAATTGTTTCTACAGTTGTTTTCGAGTTCATAATAATTCTCACAAGAATCAAGGAATCTTCTTTAAAGCTCACTTAAAATTATCACTTAAACTTTTCATGCGGACTTCCCTTGAATGTTTTTTTTTTCTGACTTCGTTCGATAGTTTCTCATATTTTTTCCCTGGAATATCTTCAACTTTCACAGAAAGTTTCTTTTAGAAGTCCTCTTGGCTTCTGCTGGAACTTTGCATATGACCTCTTCCGTAAGTTTCTACTGAATTCCCTCTGTAGATTTTTCCTAGTTCTCATGGAAGTTCTTTGCGACTTCTCCCTGAAATTTGTTTCTAACTTCTTCCAGAAAAGCTTCTGCCTTCTTCTGGAATAGTCTGCTTACTTCATTTGTACGATTTTCTCGGATGTTTTCTTTTTCTGAACTTTTTCGGCAATATCTTCCAATTTTGCTTGATTTCCCCGGAAGTTTCTACCGATATTCTCCAGAATTGCTTTGGATCTCCTCCGGAAGATTCTTTCAACTCTTCCTAAAAATTTCTTCTGACTGTCGCTGGAAACCCTTATGTCTGACGACATCCCACGACCCGGCTGATTTTTTTCTGTTTTTTCCCGAAATTTCTTCCAACTTCCGCATAATTTTCCACTAAAAGACTCTTTTAATTTTTCCGTGAAGTTTCTTCCGATATCCCATCAGAATTCCTTCTGGTTTCCTTTGAAACCTTATTCCAACTTCTCCTTGAAATTAATTTTGACTGTCTCCAGGAACATTTCTGTTTCCGATTTCCCTTGAGCCTCTCCTGGAAACTTTTTCTGCCTTCTCCTCGACCTTCTCTAGGCTCAGAAGTTTCTCTTTTTTCATGGAAATATCTTCCAGCTCCCCCGGATGTTTTATCCGATTTCCTCCGCAAATTTCGGCTAGAAGTCCTGGATTCTGTCGAAATTTTCTTCTGACCTCTCCAGGAAGTTTATTCTGAGTTCCCTTCTTCCGATTTATATCAAAATTCTTTCCAACTTCCTCCAGAAAATCTTCTACCATCCTCTAAATTGTCTTCTGACTTCTGACTTTTTTTTTCGGAATTTTCTCTTGAAAAACTTCCGATTTCTCACGAAATCCTCCGGATCTACTGCGTAGTATTCTTTTTACTTCTCTTAGAAGTTTCTTCCATCTGCCCCTGGAAAACCTCACGTCTTCCGACTTCCAAGGAAGTCGTTTCTTACCTCTATCTGAAGCTTCTTCTGTCGCTCTTGGTAGATTCTTCGGACTTCCACCAAAAAATTTTCCGGATTCCTCCGGATACTTTTTCTGACAATCTTCTCACGAATGTTTTTTTACTAAGATATTTCCGGGAAAATCTTCCAACTTCCCTGATTTTCCTCAGAAGCTTCTTCTAAAAGTCCTTCTGACATCTCCCGGAGAGTCTTTCGACTTTCTCCAAAAGCTTCCAGAAGTACTACTCAAGCAAGTTTTTTCCAACTTCTATGGGAAGTTTCTTCTGTCTTCTCCAGAAAGGGTCTTCCAACCACTACCGGAAGTTGCATTCGTTCTTCCATAAGTTTATCCAGATTTCTTCCAGTAGTTTCTTTTTTCTGACTTAAACCAAGTAACCTTTGCTTCCAAGGTCATGAAGTTTTTCCGATGCTTCTTCTGAATTCCTCCAGAAGTCCTTCTGGTTTCTCCTGGGACTTTCTGCCAACATTTCCCGGAAGTTTCTGTCAATTTCCTAAAGAAGTTTTTCTAGATTTCCGGGCATGTTTTCTCCGACATCCTTCAGCAATTTATTCCGACGTTCTTCGTTTGACTTCGTTCAGAGTTGCTTTCTGAATTCCCTTGTTTTTTTTCCCGAAAATTCCTTCCAACAACTTTCTTAGAAATTTCTCTCTGACTTCCTTCGGAATTGTCTACCAATTTGCTTCAGTAATTCGGTTTCCCTCGGATGTTTCTTTCATCTTCGCATGGGAGTTTTTTCAACTTCAGAAGCTTATTCGAACATCCCCAGAAATTTCTTCCGACTTCCCTCGAAAACCCTGAAATAATAATGTATATTAGTATGTCTTTTATTAAAAAAAAAAGTTCTGTTTGCCAGGAAACCGAATCAGATTCCCCGGATAGAAAACACTACCTATATACAAAGTAAGTATTTATGGTTTTCTGGGGATGATCAGAGGTCTTTCAGTGAAAGCCTAGAGCAGTCCCCGTGACAGCAGGGTTAAGTTCGTTTTTTAAGATGGATTTTTTTTTATAAAAACAAATTAAAGAACCACGTTATTACAATTCCATTAGATTTCTTCTCATCATTCCTTTTAATGCTGTCGAAATAAATAGGTTGTTCATGGAATTTATTTACTTTTTTTTTATTTATTTATTTATTTATTTATTTATTTATTTATTTATTTATTTATTTATTTATTTATTTATTTATTTATTTATTTATTTATTTATTTATTTATTTATTTATTTATTTATTTATTTATTTATTTATTTATTTATTTATTTATTTATTTATTTATTTATTTATTTATTCATTTATTTATTTATTTATTTATTTATTTATTTATTTATTTATTTATTTATTTATTTATTTATTTATTTATTTATTTATTTATTTATTTATTTATTTATTTATTTATTTATTTATTTATTTATTTATTTATTTATTTCTTTATTTATTTATTTATTTATTTATTTATTTATTTATTTATTTATTTATTTATTTATTTATTTATTTATTTATTTATTTATTTATTTATTTATTTATTTATTTATTTATTTATTTATTTATTTATTTATTTATTTATTTATTTATTTATTTATTTATTTATTTATTTATTTATTTATTTATTTATTTATTTATTTATTTATTTATTTATTTATTTATTTATTTATTTATTTATTTATTTATTTATTTATTTATTTATTTATTTATTTATTTATTTATTTATTTATTTATTTATTTATTTATTTATTTATTTATTTATTTATTTATTTATTTATTTATTTATTTATTTATTTATTTATTTATTTATTTATTTATTTATTTATTTATTTATTTATTTATTTATTTATTTATTTATTGTTTAATAATTCATCTGACAAAACAGTTTTAATGAATATCTTAAATAATGTTTAATCTTCTTGCTTAATTTACAAATTGAGGCGTAGACGGATGCAAACAAACGAACCATTGCATATTTAGACTGGTTATAACCATTGAATTAGGATTGATTTCAACAATATTTCGATTTGTATTCCCTTGGAATTTTTATCACTATTCTCTTGCAGTTTTTGTCAGAATTTTCTTGGAACCGTATTTTTGTTTTTTTTTATTTCTCATCAGAGTTTTTCTGGACTTCTCTATACCCAAGTAACATTGCAAGTTTTATTGAGGTTTAAAAGCACTCTACAAGTCTACATCATGGTCAACAGAACCCTCATAAAACCGACATTGTTCCTTGGGTAGGAAGTCTGTTCAGAATTACCTTGTAATTCTACTTCCTTAGAATTCATTCGAAGTTCTCTCCACAATGCCCATGGAATTGTTTTGAGGATCACCTTGGATTTTTTTCGGAATTTCTCAAGAATTATTTCCATTTTTCTTTTCCAGAAGTTCTCTCCAGAAATTCCTCCTTTAGTTCATACAAGCTCAATAGCTTTGGCTATTCCACAAGGCGAAAAGCTCAATTTCATTTTCTAAGAAGTCCTGCAACTTCAATATTTCTTAGTTTTGATTCTTTACGCTCAATTTTATTTTTCCATGCTTAAGATTTCTAACATAATTACAAAGTATAATCTCTCACTTTAAAAAATTTGACCTATAAGCTCAAACTTTGTGGTAAAACTGCGTAAGCAGGTAGACACTGAAAGTTTTTTGCTTTGAATTCCTCTGATCTTCTTCTGGAAGTCTTTAATCTTCTGAACATCACTTAAAAGTCTTCGGAACAAACCCTTAGTGATATGCCGGAAGCTTTGCGAACCTCGCCGAATAGACCCGATGCCAAGCAAAAAATAGAATTTGTAGAATTGTTTCTGTGTTGTATGTGCCTAGTTTATTGTAAACAACATACCAAGAATACTGACAACTCTACCAGAATCCAGAATACAGTAGCGCTACGTTTGAGCAAAGCTAAAAAATAGCAATAATTTTTGAGCAGTAGATGACGAATGTGTGTCTGTCTCTTAGCGTGAGAGTGGTCAGTTTTCTGGATATGTCGTGTTTGCTTCTATGTTAAATAATATAATCCCTGCATACTTCTATTTTTAGGTTGCCATCGAACGAACCCACACGTCTGCGGTGCAAGTAAAGTACCGTGCCGATGCACTGATGAATGCCAACCACTACGATCCGCAAAGCATCAAGGACATCGCGGACGAAGTCACAAAGAAGTGGCAAAAGCTAGTCACCTGCGCCGAGGAGCGCCACAAGCTGGTAACGGCTTCGTTAAACTTTTTCAAAACCGCCGAACAAGTGTGTAGTGTGTTAGATAGTTTGGAGAAGGAATACCGCCGCGAGGAGGATTGGTGTGGCGGCGGTGGATCGACGGATAAAGGTCAACAAATAGTGCAACTAATTTCTAAACACCAAGAGCAGAAGGAAGCGTTCCTGAAAGCTTGTACCTTGGCTCGACGAACGGCTGAAACATTCCTTAAATACGCGGCACGGTCGCTGCAATTCTATCACATTAAGACGACTGTAAATAGTGAGTCTCGGGTTAAGTCTATACTGGATAAATTGCTAACACAGGAAACGCAGGTTCTCGAATACTGGACCCAGCGGAAGAAGCGACTGGACCAGTGCCAACAGTTTGTACTCTTCGAAAGATCTGCCAAGCAGGCGATCGAATGGATCCATGACACTGGAGAGGCATATCTGTCATCCAGGAACAATAAACTGTGTGGCAGTAAAGAGGAGACTGAAGTGCTTCTGAGAGAGCACAATGAGTTCAAAGGAACGGCAAAGGAGACGCGGGAACGTGTCAAACTGTTGATTCAACTGGCTGACTCCCTGGTGGAGAAAGGGCATGCCCATGCCAGTTCGATAAAACAGTGGGTGGCGACCGTAGATAATCGCTACAAGGACTTTAGCAGTAGAATGGAACTCTATAGGACTAATTTAGAAAAATCGCTTGGCCTACCTGGTATACAGCAACAAGATGACAATAATAGTAGTGGTAGTAATAGTTGCCTTAGCAGTAAATCCATTTCATCCTCCACGACATCCGTCTCGACGGGATCGTCCACCAGCGGCATTTCCTCAGCCTCTTCCACAATGACAACTGGTAGTTCAGTGCTGGAGTATCGCCATTCCGACCCCTCGCTGGAAACAAAACTCAATGCAGCCGCGGCCGGTCCTGGTTCGGTTGGCGTTCCCAAAGAAATGAATGAGGAGAAACGAAAGTCCGCTCGAAAGAAGGAGTTCATCATGGCTGAACTGCTGCAAACTGAGCGGACCTACGTCAAAGATCTCGAAACGTGCATAACCGTGTTTGTGAATGAGCTGAAAAGTGGCGTCAATGTGCCCCCTAACCTTCTAGGCAAGGAACACATCCTATTTAGTAACATCGAAGATATTTACCAATTCCATGAGAAAATATTCCTCAGAGAGTTAGAAAAGTATGAAACTATGCCCGAAGACGTAGGCCATTGCTTCGTAACGTGGGCGGCAAAGTTTGATATGTACGTGTATTACTGTCAGAATAAACCCCAATCCAACGATTACATGGTTCAGTACGGTGGAACCTATTTCGATGAAGTGCAACGAAAACACAAACTCGAACACTCGCTGCCGGCTTTCCTAATCAAGCCGGTGCAACGAATCACCAAATATCAGCTCCTGTTGAAAGATCTCCAATCGTGCTGCGACGAAGGTCAAGGCGAAATCAAGGACGGCCTCGAAGTGATGTTAAACGTACCGAAGAAAGCTAACGATGTGATGCATTTGAATTTGCTGGAAGGATGTGATATACCTATTGATAATCTTGGTGATGTTGTCCTGCAGGATTCCTTCCTAGTGTGGGACAACAAGCAGATTCTGATTAAGAAAGGTCGCGAACGGCACGTGTTCCTGTTCGAGCTGTATATTCTGTTCTCGAAGGAGGTGAAAGATACCAACGGTACCGTTAAGTACATCTACAAGAGCAAGCTGCTGACATCTGGTGAGTAGTGTTGATATTTAAGCTAATCAATGCCTGTTTATACACAGAAAACGAATCTTACTCACTTTTACTCATTCGTATGGAGAATTTTCGAAAAGCGTAGGTTACTCATGCTCATCCTTGTTTTTGAAGACCTTCCCTGTTTTCCGGAGCTTGCCATTCATAATCGCCCAGAATTTTTTATTGGGCGAAGTTCTGGCGAATTTGGCGGATTTGCCTCCTTCGGCACAAAAACAACATCGTTGGCTTCGTACCACTCCATTACCGGTTTCGCGTAATGGCACGATGCAAGATCCGGCCAAAACAGAGTGTCACCTTCGTGGGACCGGAGGAAGGACAGCAGGCGCTTCTGGAGGCATTCTTCTTTATATATTTGGCTGTTGATTGTGCCGGTCGTTATGTACGGCCGCACCCACAGATCGCCTGCCACACTAAGTACTTCTTGAGCAAATTTGTCGGAACTTCTCCGGAAGATCCAGGCGGGACTTGCCGACAAAAAACTCCAGGCCGGGGATCCGCTTGGCGTCTCGTCGTCCATTACGATGCATTTCGGCTGCACCAATCATTCGCGGTACAGCTTCCTGGCGCGGGATTTGGTTACCGTATTCTGTTTATCGGTTCCTTCCTTGAAGACATGAAGTCCGGTCCGCTTCATTGTCTGCTGGACGAACCAAACAGAAGAATTAACCTTCTTGGCCACGCGCTTGAAGTAATCCCTCACCTTCCTTGCGTTCACGGGGATGGTTTCTTCGCGTTTCTTCCGCTGCCAGCTAGTCGCTAGGTCATCTTGGTCTCCTTGAACGATTTTAACACACGGGACACGGTTGAATTGTCGATTCCAAACTGTTTCGCGATCCACCTGTGGGACTGGCCTGGATTTTCCACGACCACTCCCTGTCGAAACACTTTTAGCTTGGAAGCCATCTCGATAACCACTTGACAGATTGTAACAATTTTGCACATGTAAAACTTACACTCTAAACTAGTTTTACTTAAAATTTCATCAATTTTTACCCATACAATAAAAAGTTATACACAAAAGAATGTTTTGCATTTTTTTTTCGAGTACAATCTTTAGTATATGTAAGTACATCCTAGTGGGAGACAACCGGGGTATGAATTTGGATCCAGTTTCCAGTCGCTAATTGGTTGATTTTAAAGTTTAAATTTTTTGTTTGTTTTATATGTGTACTACTGCTAGAACTGTTCGTATTGTTTAAGCACGGATAATTTTCAACAGGGACTGAGGAGTCAATGAAGAATCTGCGAAGAAGAATATAAAGATGCCAGATGTCCTGTCTTGTCTTAGGGTACATCCAGTGATGTACGAGAAAGGCAGAAAAGTTCCTCAGCATTACTAATGATTTTATTTTTATTTTCTCTCTCGTTCCGCAGATTTCGGTGTTACCGAGCACATTGAAGGTGACGAGTGCAAGTTTGCCATATGGACCGGCCGAGCGCCGATGTTGTCTGATTATCGGATAGTGCTCAAAGCCACCAGCCTCGAAACCAAACAAATGTGGGTGAAACGGCTACGGGAAGTGATACAGGAGACGTATTTCTCTGGTACCTCTTTCTCGCTGCTGAAATCTCCGGCCAAGGTCAGCTCCAAGCCGCTTGGCCAACGACTGTCGAAGGACATCGACGATACGCTTAACGATAATGACCAGGACGGAAGCTCGCTGGCAAGCTTCGGTTCTGGCAACACCACCGACAGCGAGAAGGTAAGTGTATTTTTTCTTGATCATGTTGAAATTCTCTGATGATACGTTAGGGGCTGTTCATTAACTACGTAGACAGTTTTTTTTGGATTCTTGACCCCCCCCTGATAGTTGCCCCTATCCGATGATGTTGTTGGTTTGCGTGGGCGTACTTTGGTTCGCGTGTAAAGGGCCTTAGAAAGTTTGTTTACAAATCCTTTTGTGCCGTTATCAAATGTTATGCCTGAATTGTCCATACATTTTTTTTTGTAATTTTTATGGGCCGTCGATAATTACTCCCCCCCCCCTAAACTGTCTACGTAGTTTATGGACAGCCCCTTAGCAAATCGCAAACAAGTATTCCGACTTGCATGATTTATTGAAATTTCCATTGCGCACAACCCTACCGAAGTTGTTTGCGTATGAAGATCTGAACATGCATTAATTATGCTCTGTGCATAGAGTGGGTGTACCATCACCATCATGTCGTCTATATGCACTTATCTCTCATGATGTAGGTACGTTGCTTTGTAGCTCCACCGTGCCGTGTACCTGCCCGAAGTTAAGAGTTTTTAATTGTCAACGAGTGTCACTTATGGTATAGGGGGAGAGTAACGATGAACGTGATGGTAAATAGTGTATCACCAGTAATGATGTCATAATTTGTGCGAACTGCAGTCATTTTGCTATTCATATACAACGGAAATTTAAAGTTTTTTTTTTGTTTTATTAAGGGCAGTTCTTAGTTTGCGTGAATTTTAGTTTTTCCAACGTAGCATGAGATCGGACTGGAAAAAAGCTGGGAATTCGAATTCACCGAAAAAAAGAGAAAAGACCGTGAATCGGGTAAAAATAAAATGTTCATCATCTTCTCTCCGGAAACAGATAAAAATATTAATCTGGTCCTTGGAAAATTTTTCAAGACTCTTTAACTGGCCTGTATTTTAACAATTCTGTCTATTTGATACCAATACAAAATTGTAGATAATTTTGAAGGAATTCCAGGGATAACATTGCAAGTTAGTTCTGGCAGGAGCTTGAAGGGAATTCTGATCTGATTAGAGCAGAGAAAGAAATACAAAAACAAATACCATTTTGTCAAGCTGTTTTGACGTGATTTTCTACCAGCGCTTTCAGAAAACTTACTATTACTGTTACTATTTTTTATGAAAGTCACAAATTTTGGCTACTTTTCTAGACGAAAAATATTGATTTATTTTGAAGTTCGAGTGGTAGTGAACGTCATTTTGAACTGCTCGAATGAAGGGGTTAATGAATCATATCATTCGAGCAGTTTAAAAATAGGAAAGATCGTCGGTTGCAGTGGCTTGCTTACTGAGCAACAAAACGCGGTCCCAGGTCCTTTCATATTAAAAATGTATGGTAAGATCGCTTGTTTATCGTGTATTTTGCTAAACCTTTCGTTGTCGTCGGTGCCGGGTTTGAATAGTTATAACAACTTGAGTAACGGTATGATGTAATATGAGGGGCTCGGTGGCCTTAGAGCAACCGTTTTTGCTTACTGAGCAGAACATCCTGAGTCTAATCTCAAGCCCATCCACATCAAGATTCGTCAATCGTTTTATTTGTTAATATGACTACATGGTAATAACTCAGCAACTCGATGATTAAAAAGGAGCTCGTTTGCCTAGTAACAAACGTTTTTGCTTACTGAGCAGAAGACCGTGGGTTCAATCCCAAGCTCCTTCGCGTTATACGATAGTTAGGACATCAATTCAGCATATCGTTTACCAAAACGAACCCTGCTGCAAACCCAACCCTCTTACCCAACCTCCCTGTGATTCCTCGTGGAAGTGCAGAGGACTCCTTGGCTTCCATCAAAGCGAGTGTCACGTCAACACATTCTTACCCATTCCTTTCTTGACCTGCGCTCAGGCGCGGCTGGCGCTGGTATTGCCTAATTAGAGATCACCAGTTTTTACACATTGAGGATGATTGCTAGTCCCAAGCATCGTCTATCGGTTCTCTGTTTAATTACAGCTGGTCTGGCAATAACAGAGTAGCAACCGTGGGCGGTCAATTATGCTTATGCTCATGCTCATGCTCATGCATATCATTCGAGCAGTTTAAAATGACGTTCCCTACAACTCGAACTTTATCGTGGAACAATATTTTGATATTTTTTCTTTTAGAACCTCGAGAAAATAGGGAATTATTTCTGCTAAGCTTGAAAAATCTAAAGTTTATTGCTTCATTTCCATAAAATCGCTGGTAGAAGATCGTCCCAAAACTGCTCAATAATATGATTAATTGTTGGAATAATTCTAAGGTAATTGTAAGAAGAGCCCCAGACAAATTTTAATGAGAGTACTGAGTATAATTTTTAAGTAGTTCTGGAAAGAATTCCTTGACGGAGGATTCCAGCTCCAATTCTAATGAGTCTTAATAAGTTCGAAAAAGAATATTAAATGATAATTCCATGGAAAAACCCATAAGAACTCCAATTCTAAGCACAGTTAAAAAAAAAATGGAGTTAGAATTCGAAGGGAGGATAATTCCAGCTGAATTCTAAAGATAGATCTAATTGAATTCCGAGAAAAAAAAACCGATAAGAGGGTTAGGGGACATTTCCAAATTGTCTCTGAAAAGAGTTTCAAAGGAATTCCAAGGAGGATCTAAAGTCATTCGGAGAACAATTGCTAAATCGTTCTGAGGGATTTCCTAGTGACTTTTCAGAAGAATTCAGAGGAGAACTCAGTGATAATTCTGAGTCGAATTTCAAAACATTTCTGAGATAAATTGTATAGAAGTAGAGTTAACATTTTAAATAGAATTATCGAAAAAAAAAACTAAGTAAGCAGTAAGAATAGAAGAATCATTGAATAATCGAAGATTTACTTAGGGAGGGGTTCCAAAATTTTGTTAGATTATTCTACAGAAAGTTTTGTGGATTGTTGTAACGACAATTTCTACGGAAAAATAAAGAAAATCTTCAAATTTATGTTAGAGTAATTCTGAAAACAATTAGATATTCGAATTCTGTTAATGAAAGTTCTAAATCTGATATCTTAAATATTTCTTCAAGCTCGCAATTCTTAACTTTGCCTTAGTACAAGATACCAAAAATGAACTCTGAGATCGAAACAAATTAGCAATGTCTCAGAGTTTCATAAATTAGCCAAGTCCAAGATCATGATATTTTTTCTAAATAATTCCAGGGATAATCCTAGAAAAATCCATGCCTCAGACTCAGGCACTTGATTTATGTTAGCTTCACCATTTCAAAAGTTTTTCGATGTCCGATGTCTGGTAGTTTGAATAACTTTGTAAGTTTTAAACCTTGAAGTCATGTCATAGAGTTGAAAGAATTTCTCTTCAGAATTTCTGATAGTTTACCTCAGAAATTTATTGAAAGTTTTATCAGAATTATCTACAAAAATTAACGCTTGATTTGACGTAAATTTACACGATATTTCATGTAAAATTAGCGCAATATCGCATAAATTAGCAATATTGTATGCAAGCTTGAAAACGATTTCGTTGTGCCTACTATAGCTCAAAATTAAACGAGGGAAAATTTTACGCGATAATTAAAATTCAGAATTTTTTTCCATAGGCTTTTCTTGTTACTGAAATTCAACGAAGGTTTCTCAATATATTGTTCCGAAATTGCCTTGGAATTCGTTCGTCATGTTAATTCAACCCAATTTGACAATTCCAGATGAATTTGCTTCGTTGCAACATGTTCTAAGTACTCCAAATTGTTCAGGAGTTAAATAAGCTCTGTTCTGGAGCTCTAAATTAATAACTGTGGAAGTGCATCTAGAACACTATGTTGAGAGCTTGAAATGCGAAGAAGAAGGAATTAATTTATTTGTACAGGCTCAATCGAACATACTTCACAGAGCCAAGTTATCATTTGCGTTATACATAAATAATGTCTTAAATCTAAAGTTAAAGAAATTGAACCGAATACTCGCGGTCGTCTCAAGGTTAGTAGAGATTTACAGTTTTATGGATGGGGAGAAGGAGAAGGAGGTTTGAGTTATGATTTACGATACAAATATTTCATTATTCCTCAAACATGAACTTGTAATTATACAATTATTACAGAAACAAATATACAAAAAAAAACACACACACACACATATACAAAATACAAACTAAACACAAGGTTAATCAAACTAACAATCTATGGTTAATATTCTTAATAAAAACATATAGGGGAAATGTCTCTAATGTTGGCCTATGGATCTAAGATTGGGCCCATCGCTAAAAATCTGCTGTTTATCAATTTTATTTAGATGAACGCGTTATTGGGACGTTACTAATGGATATTTTTGGTTGCTATTAAAAATTTAGTCGATTGCTGAATTTATGTATGGGCCCAAATTAGGGACACTTAGGCCGACATTACCTGCATTTCCCCTATGAGTTGCTTAAAATCCAGATCGCGTGTAGCCAAAATATCCCGAACTGGAACATTAGGTTGTCTACCTCGAGCCCGAAGGGAATCGTACAGATCTGATTCCACGATGCTCAGCACATGACCAAATAATGTGATCTGCGTCCTGGTAACCTTGTTTACATTCACAGAGATCAGTGTAACACGGAACAAGTGAGCGTTTAACGAGTAACACTGGTAACATCATACGAATGAGGTCTCGACCCACATCCAACCCCTTGAACCAAGGACTCTTCGACACCTTAGGGATGATCGAATATAGCCATCGTCCCAAACTTCCTTCGCTTCATTTATGTTGCCAGCTGGCGAGTGACTGTTGACGATAAATGAAGAAAAATTCGTTGTAGGCGATTTCTCGCGTAACATTTGGAAAGGGCCTATGTCCAAAATGTAAACAATCCAGAAAATGAATTGTAAATTTTTCCGCCAGTATTTAATTCCTATATAAATAAATTGAAGTATTTTAGGCATCTATATTGTTCACAATAACAATAGTAACTATATCTCAGTACACAACATCCAAAACATGCGAAACGTTTTCAAAAATACATGAAAATCGATAAAAATTTAATATCACATAACAGCCTTTTTGTGAATC